TGAATGAGCCAAAAATACTATCAAACATATCATTGACAATGCAATATTATGTTACCTAAATAATTGATTATTCCGTTTTACTGAAGTTATTACAGTAATTGGAGGACAATATCTTCATTGAAATGTTATTGAATCATCTGGTAAAAATATTCATTAACAGGCATACAAATATACTTTTTTGCAACTAACAATTACTACATTATCTGACATGTGTTTTTCCATGAATGCCCTGCCTTGAAATGATTTGGGGTTTATGGTCCAGGCTTATAAACCATCCTACCTGTGCCCCTCTGTGCCCACAGCCCCGTACCACAGAGCCCCCAGTGCCAGGTAGAGGTGCAGCACGAGAGCACTGCATGTGACCCTCTGACCCCTAGTGAAACGGCTGTGGGCCGGGCGCTCCCACAGCGACAGCCACAGGTGCTGCTCGACCATCCCAAATGTCAGCTGGGAGGTGAAGACCCGTCGAAACTGAGAGAGCTCCTCGGGACCTGTCCGAAAAAAAGACGCCGCACCCACTAGACTTAGGTAGGAATAAAAAAAATAGATGTACGTGATATTACTCAGTGGAAAGTAAGTGTATACGCTTACATGACGCCAGAACTTCTTTCTCCACAGAGCCGTTCTTCTGATTCTCCACGGAGAGCCAGTCCTCCAGCAGGAAGAAGAACATGTGGTCTGTCTGAGGGTCCCAAACCACCACCTGCTGAACGTACCAGGACGGGTCCAGACCTACATTTACATGGATGATATTCTATTACATTCACATGTAGTCACCTCGGCTACTTACAGTCATGGGCGGATTATGAAACAATGGGCCCCCTGGGCACAGACATGCAAAAAAAGGCCCCACCACCATTTTGTGTCACTTTGTGTTTCTTTATGGTCTTTTTGTGTCTGTTAGTAGTCGTCATTTTGAGACGTTTCCTGGTTAGTGTGTGTCTTTGAGGGACATTTTTGTAAGTGAAGGCCAGAGGGGGCCCCCTGAAACTTTGGGCCAGTTCAGTAATCCATCCATGCTTACAGTATCAAGTGAGAAGTTTGTTTTATTTGATCTCTTGCTCCATGACACGCTGAAAAAATGTGATTACTCAAGTCGCACACCTGCACGTGGCCACGCAAGATGTATGCATGTAAATACACACACATACGTACGCAATTTTTATTTTACTGGAATCTGGCTGCAGAGATATATTTTAAAAAATCTGAATTTCAACAAACCATTTGATCGCATACTTAAATGTCTATGTAGAGGGTAAAATAGTTGTAATTGTTTACAATGTAATGTCTTAATCCCAGAGGACATTGTCTCAGCATAGGGTCATAATCAAAGCAACAGCAACAGCTTTAAAAGAAGGATGTTTTAGCGGTTTCCATATACCTGTGTTATCATGCCAGATACGAATTTTCCAAACTTCTCCCAGGTTGTCATCTGTCTCCAGGTGAAACTGGTCCAGGCTGCCACGCTGAAACGCTCCATCCCTCTGCAGATGGCGAGAGCCGCTCTTGTTCACACCGTACAGACTGATGCCAACATGCGCTGTGGTTCCTGATGGGTGCATTAATTATTTCCATCATATGTAGTTGGAGGTTTCATAAATTCAAACATGGAAAATGCTTTTATTACTCATATTTTTGTGTTCACGTTTTGACTTTGTCCTTGGCTGACCTGATCCTCGCTTCCAGCCGGTCTTGACCAGCACCCTGTAGTGGTACAGCCCCGGTCGGCCACACAGAGGGACCTGGCTGAGTCTCAAGCTGTCCAAGTGGTCCAGTTTATGGGCGATGAGCCCCACCAGCAGGTGAATCAGAACCAGGACGGCACACACAATCCCCACCACCATGTTACGCATGGGACCGCCTGGCTGCACAGATAAGAGGGAAGAGGCTGTTGATGACTGCTCTCTTTCTATTCCTGACTTTGCATTTGGGGAATGGATTAGATATATTTATTTTTCCCAAATATATGCACTAAATAACAGATGCTTTGTGTCCTCACATACCGGCGGCAGCAGAACAACAGCCCCAGGATGAACAAACAAGCTGGCCCCAAACACGGTGAGGTGCTGGGTGAGGCAGTGTGCCGCGTGGAGCGTGCTGCCCTCCAGTGGCTGTAGACCCTCACTGCTCCAGCGCCTCTCCTCCACACTGTAGTACCGGCACAGCGAGCTGAACACGCACACCAACACGTGGACGGGGCCGCCGTCGACCAGGGACGAGGTCAGGTTGACAGAGAGGGTCTTGTCCGTCCTGTCCAAACTGTAGTGGGAGGACAACTCATTCATGTAAAGCACGTCTTCATAGGACAGAGCACTGAGTTACAGGAAAGAGCTGTGACTTACAGCGGGGACAGGAATATGGTTTCCTCTGCGGAGGTGGTTGCAGCAGAGAGAGTGAGGGCCCACACTCTCAGTAGAGAATCCTGGGATGCATTAGTCCCCGGCACTGTAGAGCTCACTTCTATCTTGACATGTCCCAGACTCACTGGAGTAGCTCCTAGATATGCATAATGCAGTTTAAACACAGCCTTTATAATTTATATTTTAACGCAAAAAAAAAAACAGTATATAGAGTAAGGTTAATTAATTATTATATAGGCCCTGCATGATCGACCTTAAAGCTACAGTCAGGAACTTTAATTGAAGTAACGTTTTGTCATATTTGGTCCAAGTGTCACTTGTATATGTAGTATATGAGACAGATAATCTGTGAAAAATAAATCAGGTTCCTCTGCCTCCTTTTAGAGCTCTTAATGGCATTTGAAAGATTCCACCGCTCCCAAAGGAAAACAACCAATCAGAGCAGAGGAGTCTATAAAGCATGCTGCCAATCAATGCTCATGAACACCAATCAACTGTCAAACTAGAGGGCGCTGATCACATGTTTTCAGAGAACACATTCTAGTGTACCGAGTCGCTGTAAAAGGAGAGTTATGACGAAAAGTTATTTTAATTAAAATCACCAACTGCAGCTTTAAAGATAGTTCACTCTCGTTATTTAAATGTCTTCAGACATCGTGAAACGTCTAAATGTCATGTGTTCAACAAACCTTCCCAAAACTGTCACAGCCAAAAATGTATTCATATTTTTAATGTGAAGTCTGGCAGTCATTACCTTATTATGTTTATTAAAACGACAGGAAGCTAGTCTGTTTATAGTCTTAATGAACAGACATTAACAGCCACTATGTGCCTGACTGTGAAAAAAAATGTCTGACTTTTGCTGTTAAATTTCCACTGTGATCGCCTCATTATTTTCTGTAAACTAAAACTAAAAGCAGCTCTAATTGCTAGTTTTATAACAACAACGTGTCAAGTGAGGATGTGAAAGTGGTCACTCGTAGTGATGAACACACAGAGAATCAAAGAAAAAGTAAGAAAGCCATTAACCAATTGGTCATTAGCATTATAACAAAGTGCAAAAGTTTGGAGAAAAACAGGATGGGTCCAGAGAAAGAAATAAATAGTCTACTGTACCTGGGTCCAGGCTGAAGTTGAAGGAGATATATAAACCTGCGTTTTCATCCAGTCCATCCACAGCTTTGACTGTGAGGTTCAACCTCCCTTCCTTTGGGAGGGCCACAGTAAGACACGTCCCGTTCCCAGCTTCGCCTACCCTCCCATCCCCACCCCCATCGTCCTGTCCCACGGGGTATTTGTTGGGCAGGGTGACCCGTATGGCCTGTTCCGGGTCCAGATCCTGGATGGGTATGGGTTGGCCCTGAGGCGTGGTGAGCTCCATGGCGACCAGAGCGGTGGAAATTGGAGGGTCAGCCGCGGTCAGGAATGAGTTGGATCCCAACTCCGCCTCCACATCAAACAGTACCTGCACCACCTCAGACTTCTGACTCTTCAGGTGAGCAGTGAGGGAGGCGGGGATGTGGAACTGACATGGCCGACGTGTCTTCGATCCGTCGGCCGCTGATGACTGAGGTGGGACAATCTGGTTTCGGTCGGACTGGTGCGTGCAGAGGAGGTCGGAGGGGTCTCCATGGAAACCCACTGTGTTGATATAAGGAGTGGAGAGCGAAAGGGGCGCCTCGCCGTGAACACGTGAGTGCATCAGAGAGCGCATCAGGGCCCCAGCGTGACCCAGCGCTGACAGGGTGATAGTGGGAGCCGACCGCAGAGTGCTGGAGTAGGCTGGGTGAGCACGGGAAGCACCGGCAGACTCAGACACAGCCGCCAGGGTGCTACCTGGAGACAAGGAGAACACCTTCAGCAAAGTTCACCATCAGCAGATGACTGCGTCATGCAGGAGACGGTGGTGGACAAGCACCTATGATGTTGAGGATGTTTCTTCCTGTTTCCAGAGCTGACAAAACACCAGGACTCATCTGTTCCTCCATGACATGGATCATCTTCCCCACAGCTTCCAGAACCTTCTGCTGGCACTTTTCACACACCAATTCACTGGGAACAGCCTCGGGGAAGCAGCGAATGAAAAGATTTTTTTTTTTTTAAATGGAATTATTGCTGGAAAGGTATAAGATTTGAAAATAAAGGCACATTTTTAAAAGTATGATGACAAATCACCCGCATCTCTTTAAAAACAGGGAGGACAAAAATGTGCAAGTCAAAAACATTATTTTCCACTTTCAGTGAGTTGAATATTTTAACCAAGATCAGTCCCTTTATATGTCACAACAATTTGAATTATTTTCTTTCTACTAAATACAGGG